GCGCGCGGAATCCGTGTCAGCTGTGTGAAACTCCCTGGTCCCTTACCGGCATCAAAGGCGGGGGGGAAGAGCTTGGACGGGTACTTGTCGAGGAACTTGGATCCATCAATTCCCATGAAGGCATCGTTGGTGTTGGCTGCGTCAACACAGGCAGTTTAATCGATTAGAATTTCGGGTTGTGAGCAGCTTCATTCGACAGAAGGAGTACACCCATCTCGTAGGAGAAGGCCTGGGGGATTTCATGAAACGATGTCGAATCAGTGAGTGCAGCGAAATCGCTGAAAGCGATTGAGCGCGTGCGAGCAGATGTAGCAAACGGGACGCATGAGGCGGGGTGAGGCGGTGTTCGGCGATATTTGACGCCGATTGTAATGGTGGGATCACAGGAAAATTACCGTAGTCTGAAGCGGCGCCGTGCCACTGAGTTTCACACGTCCTGTACAAAAATAAGGCCATGTGCCACCGGACTGTCTCCCTTCAGATCACCATCGGCAATTTGCCTGGACATCAACATTCACACGCCCACAGGTTGTCCACACGGATTCAAGTTCAAATTTGCGACTTGCCGATAACGATGGGTATATGCGTCGTCTTCTGTGTTTCGGAAACTCACTGAGCTTGGCCACCACCGAGTAGACAGGCTCCTTGCATTTGTCCGTGTCAAACGTGATTTCGCCATTCCATGTCTTCCCGGGCAAAAGGGGGCCCTCAGCCGCCGCAAAGCCACAGAAGCCGCCCTCGCGTGTTGCGATCGCCTGTGCGTGCATCGCCCGCCGTTTTGAGAGGCGCGTAGAAACGGTGGAACGTGTGTGGGTTCCGCGTTCCGTAGAGGGAACAGCGGGTATTGAAGTGTTCGGGTAGCTCCGGTGACAACACCATGCCACGCTCCGTATTGAGTCCCCCGTCCGAGCAAGAACACGGATACAAATAATCTCGATGGACGTTGAAAGTTCGAAAGAATGAGAGGTAGGTACACATGTGAGAGCGACAACACCTACTTATCTAGACTGCCACGGCAATTGGCTGTTAGCGTGACGCGATGAATCCCTTGTGAAACCAACCAGCGACATACCATTATGTTCCGGTTGTTGCCGTCTTCTGCCATCCGCTTGATTGCGGGTCTCGCCTTCCCGCCCACGGGGAAAAGGTGACTACCCTGGTGAGTAAGAGGGAGAACGAGTGCGAGAGACGAAAAGTGTCACGCCGTTGCGGGGACTGCCGCCTGAAGCATTCATGGTTCGTTGGCAGAAGGTGAGGGCACAATATTCCAACGCAGCCCGTATATTCTCTCCACACAGTCACCGGACTGGTCGGGGATTGCCTCGAGCAACACGAAGGACAAGTACATAGTGTTCAGGACCTGGGCACCTACCTTCTCATGCGCCACGATGATGGGGGGCGAGAAGTCCTGCTTGAAAGTCAAGTTCGTCACGCGAACCTGTACGACGTTTGTTCATGGATTGTGTTTGGAGAGGGCGCGGCAGATAAGAACGTTGGCTGGGTACAGACATGAGAGGGAGGCGCTATCGTGACCGAGCTACGGGTTGAGGGGACGATACCGGCACCGCCATCGACAGTGTTTGTTCAAGGCACTAGTTGTTGCTTCTAGCTTCAACAATGTGTGGACTGGGGGAGCTGCTGTACATTCTATGTCTCGACCCTCTGAGTAGCTCGACGTACACTGATCGGCCTCCGCTATCTTCCTCACACACAACACGACCATGGCAGCTCGCCTTGTACGTCCTCATGCTGCTGCCGCTTGTCGAGCAACCACTGGCGAGGGAGAGCATTGATGCCAAAGCGAGATCGAACGCGAAGTTGACCATCTTCCTCTTGACTGCTGTAGGTGTGATATGGTTGGCAGAATGAAGGAACAGAGGGGACAAAGGCGAAGACAGATGAGTGAGGCAGATGATGGTGATGGGGGTAGACTCGTCTGTCTCTTTGGCATATTCCACGTCGCTCACTGTGAATGCGGGTCTTGTGGAGCCAGAAAGCGCAAATCAACGTTCAGGCCTTGGTGCAGCCGAACAAAATGTATGTTCCTCAGCGTGTACGAACACACATATCGGCATGTGCTTCACGCGCGGGTGGATGTGCACATGTCAACACCGCCTGGATCAGGAGACAGTGTCGTATTCCGACAAGTTGAAAACAACGCAACCCGCAGTCATCACTGCCTTCGGCGAGCGAAAATGGGATACGTTTGTCGTTTGCTGTCAAGCTCTTGCTCACTTGCGAACCGCTGGCACACCCTCGAAGCGATTCGAACGGATCACTCATTGCGTGTACCGTGTACCACCCGCCTCACCTTTCCTTTGTCGTCGCGTGATGTTCCACCTCGGTCGATTGTGGTGCGGGATGGCGATGCGGCTTGGGGTTTAGATGTGGTTGTGAGTCTCTGTTGTTTGTGACAGGTGGGGAAAGGTGAGGGCTCGAGGAGAGAGGCTGGATCTTCCGTCGTGATCAAGATGGTTGAACCGATCGTCAGTGTGTCCCGTCATCCAAATGCATCGTTGAACTGACAACCGGACGAATAGCGGAACTGTCAGTTTTGCCTCGCGATCGTTGAAGCGAGCCAGCCAAGACGTCGACGACTTTCGATTGTGGACCATACCCGTCTGAACGGTCCACATTGTGCAATTACCGTTCACAGCTGGAAGACGCAGGAAATCGGTCCAAGATTCAAGCCCGTCGGCCCTTACCGTGAAAGTGACTTGATGATGTCAGACTCTCCGGGCCACAGACAAGGCGGGGGGGTGTGGTCCCCGGATTATCGCCTCACTTTAGCTAGGCTACACGTAAGACGTCTGCCGCACTCACCAAACTATTTGCTACCTTGGAGTATCGCCTGATCTCATCACACATGAAAATAACACCCGAACGTGAAGGGTCCGTCTGTCGGGAGAACCATTCCACGTTCTCTGAGTATCGTCTGGCGCCTCAAACGTCTGGCGCATCGTGCCTTCGGAAAAACCAATGTGCCGATCTTACCAACTTCTCTAGAGGAGTTGCGCTGCGCTTGCTCCGTATCGACACGTGAATGCCCCTCCTTGTCGTGAGGTGCCATGCTTCCGTCCCCAGGGGCAACCAGTAGAGTTGTGGCATGCCGGCGCTCGATGCCGGTAGCATTTAATGCCGGGCCGAAGGTTAAATTTGTCGACTTTAACACCTTGTGGATCACTCTCTGTAGACAGGCGATGAAGAGGTGGCGCCGGCGAGTACCGAGCATCGACTGTGACATCGACCGCCTTGGAAACCACAACGGCAAGGAACGGGCCGAGCGACAGTCCGATACAGTCGCGAAGACGCCATGAACCGGCGCTCAGCGACCCCCTTGTAGGGAGAGCGGCGACCCCCCTCGTACATGTAGCATAACGTCGCCGTGGCTGGCAAACTGAGGGATACTTGTGGTCGTGAATTCGAACGAACGTTGCCCCTGCTGAAGTACAAGCATGCCGCTTAACCGGGCACGTATATGTAGCTCTATGCAGTCATCGGTTGGGTGAAGCGACCCCATTGTCGAAACCAGAAATCATATCTGTGTACTTACTTCACTTTGACCACCTACCGGATGGCGAAGGTGCTTGGACTTTGTGTCGGGCGGGCGAACCCAAGAGCAGGTTTTTCGATTTTTGGCACCCAAGGACGTACCCTCATCACTACTGTACGTACCACTGATATATTGAACGCTGGCAGGGAGTGTAAGGTGCACGGGATACCACGACTCAATGCCCGGGCCAACTCGGCCCCAAGCGGAGTGTCTGCTGCTTCATGTCCAGCACCCGAACACGAAGTGGCCGGGTCCTCCCCAACACCACGCTGCAGTATTTGACGCGCTGGGCCGAACTACTAACGACTCGACATTCATTCGTTGAGGAGGCGAGTGAATGGTGATGTTTTCCGGTCAAAAGAATGTGTCTGTTGTTTTGGCAGAATCATCTACATAACACATATGTCAGAGTTATAAGATAAAATTAGACAATCTAATCAGTCAACGTTGACAGATCAGATGGTCTAATTTTATCGTATAAAAGATATGCTCAGAGCTCGTTAGCACCCGGCCGGATCACTTGGGGTTAAGCTTTTTAATCACTGGGATAGAGAGTAGGAATCTCCGGGGACGGACCTCTTGCCACGCGTTGCTGTTTTGATAAACAAATGGCGGTACTTGTGTAAGTGGTTGACTCAGTGGTCTAATGGTCAGAGCCTTCTTACACAAGGTTCCACGCACGGGTTCGAATCCCAGTGGTCCACTTACACAAGAACCGCCATTTGTTTACCAAACAGCAGCGTCTGGCGAGGGGTCCGTCCCCGGAGATCCCTACTCTCGATCCCAGTGATTAAAAAGCTTAACCCCAAGTGATCCGGCCGGGTGCTAACGAGCTCTGAGCATATCTTTTATAAAATAAAATTAGACCATCTAATAAGTCAACATGTTATCTTCAACGCGTGGCAAGAGGAATATCTTTTATAAAATAAAATAAGACCATCTGATAAGTCAACGTTGACTGATCAGATGGTCTAATTTTATCTTATAAGAGTTGCATTCCATGACGGGGTTGAATTTCAGCTGGCCAGCGCAGGGGAAAGCAAGGATTAATTAGAGCTGCCGACTTGACAACCGTTGTAGTCGTCTCGCCTCCCCTTCGTGATACTCATGGCTGTACGTGACTCCGTCCATCTTACGGGTCCAGACCAGCTGCAATCCTGGCCTCAACGTGGACCCGGTATGTGACGGAACACCAGCATACTCTGCGGGCTCAGCTTTGTCGGCCCCCTACACCTGTTGCACCGGACTTGCATGCACACGGTCATCGCAAGGTATTTGTAGAGTAGCGCTACCAAAGAGCTGCTCTTCATATTCATTATCGAAAGGACGGACACAATGTCTACTCGCGTAGATGAGTAAAGTCCATCATCGTGTCGACCACTTGTTGGCATTGGGCGGGGTTGACGTGGTCCGACTTCAAGCCCATAGTCCAATGCCGATTGAAACGCAGGTGCAAAGAGCTACGGTGACAACGTCGATTTACGGTTTGCTTCAAATTCACAGCATCTCACTTTCACTCCTATGCGTGCTCTACAACCCGAACGGCACGCTGCGGGACGACGAACCATCCATGGACCGCAGAACTTCGTCTGCAACGCCCGACCTACAGACCTAACCTGATCTACAGCAGCAGCACTGTCTACGCACAAGCCAACGCCACATCGTGGAAGATTCTTATTTATTGAAACCATGACCACACACGGCGCCTGCCTCCAACCCCCACGTTCGGCACAAACGGCAATGTTGTCCTACACATGTATTGCATGCGTGAATGGTACCGATCCCTTCGACGGTTTCCTCCGAATCAACGACGGGCAGCACTTGCCCTGCAGGACACGACAGCCAGAACACAAGGGAACCACCACCGGACATATGAAGTCTAAAAGCGCCCATGGTCGACCACGTGACGTTGTATGCATACTCTACGCTGCCCCGACAGGCTGTAACACCACAAGTAATTGAAGCACTTTTCCGCTCCCCTCTTCGCCTTAGGCCTTGGAGACCACAACAACCGCCACCGGATTTTGCCAGCCGTAGTCTTTGGAGAGATCTCCAATGCCTTGGAAACCTCGGTGCACGTGGATGAAGCCCTCTGAGTTTCTGCCGTGACGTTCACGGGCGTCCCTGGTTCCCTTGGGGCATGCCCGGCCCGGCATGCAGGTACACTTCTCGTTGTTCGTCTCGGAACCTTTGGGAGGGGGCAGGGCGACAAAGGTGTCGTGACTGGGGTCTCCGGTTTGGTCTCACTTCGTGTGCTCGAGCTTTTCTACCAGTAGTGGGCAATTCTTGTGTTTATTGGGTCTCATTACACTGTATTAGCGAGAGGGGATCTCGACTGCTTCTCCCTGGGGTGGAGAACCGATGCAAGCTCCCCAGAGAATACACTCACTAGCCCGGATCGGGACGTGTTGGTAATCACAGCACGACAAGGGACATGCGGTCCAGGTCCACGTGTGACACGTACACGCAGACTGTGGCGTGAACACACAACACGTGATGTGAACACACAATAACATCAGACAGGTATGTGAACGTTTTGAAGAGGAACAGACGCTGTAGGTTGCAACTGTGGAGAATTTTGTTTGGCGAGAGCGACAGCATCATGGCCGTGTCGCGTAAGCTTCCGACAAGAGCTCATGCTTCCGATTCACGTGCGCGATAACTTGGTTGCAACTGTGTGTGAAACGTTCCTGTTCCTTACCGGCATCAAAGGCGGGGGGAAAGTGCTTGGACGGGCAACTACCCGCGGGGAATTTGGAACCAGCAATGCCCATGAAGGCGTCGTTGGTGTTGTCTGCGCAAAGTTCACAAGACAGTTGCGACGATCGGAACGTGGGTTGTGTTTTTGAACTGATTCGTCTAACACAGGTTTGAGCACACACACCATTTCGCAGAACGAGGACGGGGGGAGGGGCGCACAGTATTGACAGGCGATTGCATCAATGAGTTCTGCGCGATCCCCGGGAATGGTGAAGGGTACCTATGTTGTAGACTCGACCCATCACGCGGGGTGAGGCGGTGTTCGGTCAGGTTTGACGAAAATGGTAGGTCGAACCACAGGTCAAACGTTCTGAAGGGGCACCGTGCCACTGAAATCCACAAGCCACTACTGAGACAAGGCCACATTCCACCGGGAATCCCCTTCCCAGATCGGCGGGTTGCACCTCATTCGCAACATTCACACGCCCCCAGGTTTTTCATATGGATCGAAGTTCACTTTCCTGAATCGACTTATCGATGGGTACCTGCGTTGTCTTCTGTGTTACGGAAACTCACCGAGCTTGGCCACCACCGAGTAGACGGGGTCCTTGCACTTGTTCGCGTCAAATTGGATTTTGCCCTCCCATGTCTTCCCGGGAAAGATTAAACCCTTGCTCTCGGGTGCGGCAAAGCCACAGAAGCCGCGCTCGCGTGTTGCGATGTTCTGAGCGTGCATCGCCCGCCGTTTTGAGAGGGGCGTAGAAACGGCGGAGCGTTTACGGGTGTTGCGTTTTGTAGCGGGAACAGCGGTATTGAAGTGTTTTAGTAGCTCTGGTGACAACACCATGCCGTGCTCCGTATTGAGTTCGGCCCGAGCAAGAACACGGGGAAAAATCTCGATGGACAATGGACGTTGAAAGTTTGGCAGAATGAGAGGTTGGTACACATGTGAGAGGGAGGACCACCTGCTTATCTAGAGTACCACGGCAATTGGCTGTTGGCGTGACCCGATGAATCCCTTGTCAAACCAAACCAGCGGCATACCTGTACATTCCCGCTTAAGCCCTCTTCTGCCAGCATGCTGATTGCGTTTCTCGCCTTCGCGCCCTCGGAGAAAAGGGGTCGACTACCCTGGTGAGCAAGAGGGAGAACGGGTGCGAGAGACGAAAATTGGTTCTCGCGCCGTTGCAGGGGCTGGCACGTGAAGTATTCATGGCTCGTTGGCAGGAGGTCGGGGCAACCTATTCCAAGCCCGCCCAAAATATTCTCCCCACACAATCACCGGACTGGTCGGGGATTGCCTCGAGCCAGGTACATGGTGTTCAGGACCTGGGCACCTACCTTCTCATGCGCCACGATGATGGCGGCCGAGAAGTCCTGCTTGAAGGTCAAGTTCGTCACGCGAACCTGCACGACGTTGTTGGTTGGTGTGTGGAGAGGGCGCGGCGGATAAGAACGTTGGCTGGGTACAGACATGAGAGGGAGGTGCTAACGTGACCAAGCTACAGGTTATGGGGATAGCTACCGGCGACGCCATCGACAGCGCTCGTTCAAGGCACTTTGCTTTGCCTCTAGCTGCAATAATCTCTGGATTGGGGGGACTGCACCATGTCTCGGCTCTCTTGAGTAGCTCGACAGTCACTGATTGGCCTCCTCTTTCTTCCTCACACACAACACGACCATGGCAGCTCGCCTTGTATGTCTGCATGCGGCTGCCTCTCATCTTGCTACCGCTGGCGAGGGAGAGCATTGATGCCAAAGCGAGACCGAACGCGAACTTGACCATCTTCCTCTTGACTGTTGTAGGTGTGATACGGTTGGCAGAATGAAGGAACAAGGGGAACAAGGCGAAGACAGGTGAGTGATGTTCGTGATTATTGCTGCTGTGTGTCAACAGAGTAGCGCAGAACACTGACAGGAAGTTCAAATAACGGGACTGTCGTTTGGTAGGAATGTTTCTAGGAATGTTCTTCGTGGATGGTGTTCTCGGTATGTCGGATGGTTCATAGACCCGAGCGTGTTCTCGGTATGTCGGATAGTACATTGGTCCGAGTTCCATGTTTTGTGTGTTGGTCGAGCGACATGGCTGATGCCGCGGTGCTCGCGCACCCAGCTCACTCCACCTTTTGACCTGTTCTCCTGATCCAAGGTCTCATCAATACAACATCTTTTCCCCAGAAGCCACGAGTTTACCAACACGCTATAGCGAACCAGTCGACTGCTGTTTGTCCCCTTGGACTGTACGTCAAGACTGAACGGAGGAAGATTGATCACCTTGCTTCGTGATGAGTGGGCCTGCTGGGGATCATGTGGATGACCCACCTCTGGGTTATTCGCAGGATGTTATTGGTGGTGAGAGACTGGATTCGATTGAGACACTGTTGTCCCAGCTCACCAGCATAATCAAGTCGCTTGTTGGGCAACGAGGTGATCAGGTGGAGTCCTCTGTTTCATTTGCTGCTGCGCCGGGAAGCGGCGGAACAGAGTATGCTGGTGTGCATCAATCGGATGTCACTGGCAGGACTGTGGGAGGTACGGACAGTAGTGTCCAAGGCTTTGGCATGTCCAGCATGTGGGTTGGGAGTAGTAGTCTTGCAGACTCAGGCTTGAACCTTCGTGTAATTGTTGTTTGTCGTTCCTCTGCTGGTGGTAGAGCCAGCGGCGGAACCGACGCCGGTTGGCATCCTGTAAATGCTACTGGCAGGACTGCGGGAGGTAAGGGCAGCAGTGCCCAAGTCCTTGGCATGTCCAGCGTGAGAGTTGGGAGTAGTAGTCTTCTAGACTCAGACTTGAACCCTCATGCATCTGCTGTAAATCGTCCCTCTGCTGGTGCTGCAAGCTTTGGTTCGATTGGAACTGTTAGTGGGGCTTCGGGTAGTAGCCAGTCTTTCGGTTCGGGAATGGTTAGTGGGACTTTAGGTAGTCAGTCTTCCATTCCGGGAATGGTTAGTGGGGCTTTAGGTAGCCAGTCTTCCATTCCGCCCCCATCTACTCCATCGAGTGAGTGGTGGGGATGTGTCGCCAGTGGAAACACATATATTCCTGGGGTCGGCATTAATAACACAGGAGAAAACTTGGGTAGGAGTCCTTTTCAAAGTTCCCAAAGCTTCTGTTTTTGACGGGACGGACGTGTCGTATCCGTCGTGGTCACAATTGTTTCTACTGAGTGCCCACAACAATAATCTGTATGAGGCTTTTGTTTCTGTGCTACATGTAGAGATTTCGATTGCAAGCATTGAATTCGATCTGACCCCCTGGGTAGAGAAAGGATACAACATACATCGGGTGTGCTGTGCCAGACTGAGATATCAAGGTGGATTTTGTTCGACTGTTTGAGTAAGAACTCTCTCAATACCATGGCTAGGCATGCAGGTTCCCCGCAGCAAGTCATTTCGAGTGTTGAAAAATCACTTTCTACCCTTGAACCAGAGCACTGTCTGGAACCTTGGAGTTGGTGTCTGTGACTGCTGACGTGAGTTTCTGTAGAGTTGGAGCATGTATTGCAATCTCCCAACTTGGGATATCACCTCTTTTTCTCCCAGCGCAGATATTGGTGGTGAGTCATGGAATTACCTTGCTTGGTGGTCCTGATGGTGTGATGACTGTTTTCGACGGACATACTATTTTTCAGAGCTTCGATGGCATGCTATTTAAGACTGCGTATCGTCTTGAAGATGAATCTGTTGGTTCGGTGTTAACTGCCCTCACTCCTTCAAACCCCAAGCATGAATCTAAGATGGATGTGAACGAGTTTCGAAACATTTATGCTCATTCGCATGAGGGATTGCTTCGTACAACTGCAAAGCGACTAGGTATCGAGTTGACCGGTAAAATGCATGCTTGTACGGGATGTTCGATGTCGAAGGCATTTCAAGAAAGGGATTGCTCATGAAACAAAATGCAGATCAGACAAAAAGTTGTGCAGAGTTTTTGTTGACCTGGGAGGGCGGAAGGACGTTGCGTCCGTAGGGGGTAAACATTACCCCATGATAGTGAAGGATGATTTCACAAGACGCACATGGATGTATTTCCTGAAAAGTAAATCAGACGCTGCGAGTGCTTTCCGGAGTTTCCTTGCAAGTGTGCGTGCTGATGGTATCCCATCATTGGTTGAGATTGTTAGATCTGACAATGGGGGGGAGTTTTTCGGAGGAGAATTTGCGTCCGTGTGCAACGAGCTCTTGATTAAGCAAGAGTTCACCCCGGCTTACAGTCCCCAATACAACGGTGTTGCAGAGCGTGGTTTGGGATTGATTGAGGCGGCGGCAATGGCTGCTCGTATTCAGGCAAAAGTTTTGTTTGGGCATGTGCAATTACCTAAGACTGATAAGACTATGGGCTGAGGCGATGCATTGGGCTTGCGAAGCAATCAACCACACAGCTTGTTCCGCTAACCCCGACAGTAAGTCACCGTATGAGATGTGGCATGGTGAAGCTAGTCATGCTAGACCGTATCCGTTTTTGAAACCGGCGTACTGTAGGTGGCAGCGTCCGTCTAAGCTGCTACCGAAGGGTGAGGCTTGCTTTTATGTCGGTCCTTCGAGAGACCACCCGCGTGACTGTCATAGAGTACTTACGAGGGCTGGAACTATTCAGGAAACGAGGAATGTAACATGGGAAGCGTTGCCGTCACAACTCCCTCCACTGCAACCGTCTCTCTTGCCGATAGAGGTTGCAGAGCAGGGAGGGGAGGAACGTGACGACGATGTAGAAGCTGAGGTATGGCCGCTTTTAGGAAGAGGAGTTCCCCACATTCTTTTGCGACGTGATGTCTCTGGTGGAACAATCGATGAGGTTGGCAGTGTTGATGCAGGCAGTGTAGGTCAACCCCCCTCTATGCCATCTTCGCCCGCGATTAATTCCCCTAGTAGCGCAGCTCCCCCTGTGTCTTCTCCAGCAGACGAGTTCACCGATGAGGGGGGGCAGGGAGGGCCGGAGACAGGGCAGACAGAATCGGCGGGTCCGGGAGGGCAGGAGGTAGAGTCGGAGAGTCAGGAAGGTTTGGATCAAGAGTTGGTTGAGCCGGGAGGGCAGGAGGTACAATCGGAGGCATTTCCCCCTGCTACGCACGTACCATCCAATCGTCGTGCGCGGCATGAGCTTGCTAGTTACAACACTGCTATGAATGAGAATGTTGAAGTCAGAGAAGGCAGAACCCGTGCGCAAACTCGGGCAGTAAATCAGCAGAGCGTACCCGGCCTCATGGCCACTCTAGGACCCATCTCCGCATCAGATATAATATTGGCACTCTTAGTCGAACAGAGAGCATCTGATGCAATGGAATTGCCGAAAGTACTAATTCAAGATGTAGAGTCAGAACCGGGTAGCTATCAAGAAGCCCGCCAATCAAAGTATTCTACGATTTGGGACGAAGCCATGTCTGTAGAATTTGAAGGCTTGTTAAGAGCAGGAACGTTTGCGTTAGCAGTAAAGGCTCCGATAGGCTGTAACGTGATAGATGCTAGATGGGTCTACAAATGGAAAGCAGATGAAACAGGTAAGATAGTGAAGGCCAAGGCTAGGCTTGTAGCGAAGGGCTTCAAGCAGAAGTATGGTGTGGATTATCTTGAGACTTTCTCGCCTACTGCAAATGCTGCATCGATTCGTTTGTTGGTAGCATTGGCGTGCAAGTATGATTTGGAATTTCTTCACTTTGACATTGAGCAAGCGTTTGTTCAGTCGGAATTGGATCACGAGGTGTTCATGAAGTTGCCTCCTGGCTGTGAGTCGATGACAGGAAAGGTAGTCCGTTTAGACAAGAGTTTGTATGGACTGAGACAGGCATCTAGAACATTTCACAAGAGACTTGTGTCGGACCTGAAGAGGATTGGTTTCGAACAGTCTCTGTCTGACCCCTGCGTTCTTCGTTTCATGATGGGAGACGAGGTGTTGGGTATGATTGCGATTCATGTGGATGACATTCTGTATGCAGGAATTGAGAGGCTTGCCAAGATGGTTGTGGATCCGCTAGGTGACTCTCTCCCCACGAAGAATTTGGGCGAGGTCAAGTTCTTTCTTGGTTGCGCATTCGTTCGCGACCGCAAGGCTGGTACGATTGAGATGTCTCAAGAGAGTTACATCAGGAGTGTTCTCGAGAGATTCAATGTTTGTCGCACCAGCTCGATCCCTGCTTCCCCTGTTAGTGATTACAGGTCCGTGATGGAGGATGAGGGGGCAGGAGATGTGCCGTTCCGAGAGGTGGTGGGGAGCCTGGTGTGGATCGCCAACCAGACAAGGCCCGACATCTCAAATGCTGTGCGGGCGGTGGCGAGGCACTCTCACGAGCCAAAGAAGAGCCACTGGAAGGCGGCCCAGAAGATTCTGAATTATCTTCTGGAGACGGCACATCTAACTTTGAAGTACAAGCAGGACACTATGGTAGACGTAGGCACGTTGGTGTACGTAGACGCAGACTTCGCCAGTAAGGCCACTGACCGTAGATCAGTTTCGGGAGCACTAGTTCTTGTAGCTGACTGTCTTGTTGCTTGGATTTCTAGGACGCAGAAATGTGTCACACTTTCAACAACTGAAGCAGAGTATGTTGCGATGGGTGACGGTGTGAAAGAGGCTCTGTTTGTCAATGGAATGCTCGAGTTCTTGAGGCCTAGTGAGAAGCTTGGTAAGATTCAGGTACGCGAGGATAACGAGGGTGCGATTGCACTTGCTGAGAATCCACTTAGTTCGTGTAACAGTAAGCACATTGACGTGAGGCACCATTTTCTTAGGAATTTGACAGAGGAGGGAGTGTTGGAAATCAGTCATGTCTCTAGCGAAGGACAGCATGCGGACATCCTGACGAAGGCTCTGCCGAAAGATCTTTTTGAAGTTCATCGTAGTTTTGCTCTAGGCTCAAGATCTGAGAAGTAGAGGTCTGAGTCGTGTTTTCTTTTTGTTTGTTGTTTTTCTGATATATATTTGATCTGGTCGAAGACAACAGCCCCAAGGGAGGGTGTTCGTGATTATTGCTGCTGTGTGTCAACAGAGTAGCGCAGAACACTGACAGGAAGTTCAAATAACGGGACTGTCGTTTGGTAGGAATGTTTCTAGGAATGTTCTTCGTGGATGGTGTTCTCGGTATGTCGGATGGTTCATAGACCCGAGCGTGTTCTCGGTATGTCGGATAGTACATTGGTCCGAGTTCCATGTTTTGTGTGTTGGTCGAGCGACATGGCTGATGCCGCGGTGCTCGCGCACCCAGCTCACTCCACCTTTTGACCTGTTCTCCTGATCCAAGGTCTCATCAATACAACATCTTTTCCCCAGAAGCCACGAGTTTACCAACAAGTGAGGCAGGCGGCGGGGACGGACTCGCCTGTCTCAAATTGGCATGTTCCACGCCGTTCACTGAATGTGTACAGGTCTTGTCGAGCCAGAAAGCACCAACCAACGTTCAGCCCTTCGTTCAGCCGAACAATACGTTCTTCAGCGTGTACATGCATCGGCATACGTCCCGCGAGCTGACGGATGTTCATGTCAACACCACCTGGATGAGACAGTATTGTGCTCTGGCAGGTCGGCAACAACGCAACCCTCACTCATTGCCTTGGGCGAACGAAAATGGGATACTTCTGTCTTGTATGTCAATCTCTTGCTCACTTGCGAACCACACCCTGGAAGCGATTCGAACGGATTGTTCATTGTGTGTACCGTGCAGCACCCGCCTCACCAATTTTGTCGTTGGGTGATGTTCCACCTGAGTTGATGCTGGTGCGGGATGGCGATGCGGCTTGGGGGTTGAGGTGTGGTTGTGAGTCTCTGCTGTTTGTGACAGGTGGGAAAGGGTGAGGGTTCGAGGAGAGAGGCTGGATCTTCCGTCGTGATCAAGATGGTTGAACCGATCATCAGTCAGTGTGTCCCGTCGTCCAAATGCCTCGTTGAACCGACATCGGGACGAATAGCGGAACTGTCCGTTTTGCCTCCCGTTGAAGCGAGCCAAGACGTCTTTGAGTTTAGAATGTGAACCTCATCCTTTTGAACGGTCCCATGTGGCAATTTTCTTTCATAACTGAATATTCAATCAGGCAATTCGTTCAGGCTCAAACCCGTTGGCGCTCGCCGTGAAATTGTATTCTCAGGCTCTCCGGATGACGACAGACGAGGGGCGGGCGTCCGACAAATCCACACCACTCCTTCGCCTCCTCTCGAAAGAACACAAGAGCTCGAAGCACCTGTCCAATTTCCACACCAACCTCGTCGTACTTCTCCGTCCCCACATCCATCGTTCACGTTCTGGCCACCCGTCCTACCGGTGGGGCAATCTTTGCCCCTACAACTGTAGCAGTATTTAGTAGTCTATCGATTGTTTGCAAAATTGAATTCGCGGACAAAAGCAATGTATACAAGGACGACTTGGTTAATCGTTTCGGTCCCAATGTGGCCTTTTATCGAATATGCAATAGGAATGGATCGAGTGGAATGTACGCAAATATACAGTAGTCGAAGGTGGATCTCAAAGACGCTACCCCAAGAAAGCGTACCCGTCATACGGTAATACGGACCTCTGTTGTACAGATACCCTGCGTACCATGGCACCCCGCCAGTTCAACCGTTACGAATTACGAATAGAGACGGTAAATGAGAGAGAGCGGAACCCTTTCTAATATGAGGACACCAAGTGACCAAGTGGACCCAACGTTCGGGGTGTCCAGCAAAGGACACATGACAGAACGGAGACATGGGTGAGCGCACCCACCGATTGATCAAAAGGACGCGGAGGGCTCGCAGAGTGCACGCAGACACACACAAAGCACTTTATGACGAAGCTCGTTCGAGTATGGACTCTTCATGGAGGATTGCCCATATACGAGAAAGGACGGCTTCCACTTTTCGCAATCCACCAGATTCCGTCATAAAAGCACTCTGTGATCCTCGAGAAGAAGCTTTTGTGCCAAGAAATGGATACGTATTTTTCTCGATCGACATGCTAGCGGCTATCGCGCAAAGTCCTGCGGTCGTTGGTTCCAGTTTCCCTGACTCCGTCGTCCGACGTCAGGTACTCCGCACATGGTCCCAGAGGATACATCAGCGATCCAGTAGGAACTTGGTGAGTGACACCGTGAAACTCACGCCAACGCGGGTTCTCTGTTCTGCATTATATACGCCATTGACGGAGCGCGCATTCGCATGCCTGTGCGAATAGTGGACCGGTGGCGCTGCCACTACCGTAAAGTGAAGCATGCGGCACAAAAGCCGGGGCGTAGCTCCTGTACATGAAAATTTGGCGCCATCCGAACTGTGAGCACTCGTGCAAGCCAAATACAAACAAAAATAAGACTTGCAATCCATGACCGTGAGAGGAACCATGTAACATCGGTCACGTGTGCTGTCGCCGTTTGTTTGTTGCTGACTTTGCGCGTAGCCAGTATGTTGCTTGTTTCCGACTTTCGCTCGCGCGCTGCCAAAAGCATGCTGTTTGTTCATGATTTCGCGCTTGTTGTCAAAGGGTAACCACCCTACTTTGATGCATGTGCCGCAAGTAGGTACGACGATCGAACGCCATCCGGGTACACTGTACATTTCGTTCGCTACCCCCAGCGTCGAACAGCAGCACAAACTGGTGAACGCCGCAGCCACCACATACCACGCCACAGGTGGAACAGAAACCGGCACGTGAACAACCGAAAAACACCAGCATGTATGAGAGCACTCTAACGACGCAGAGGGCTAGCCTGCTGCCTCTTGACCTTGCTACATACAACGGGCTGAGCTAGACCTGGTTCCGAACCAAAAAAAGGCCTGCCCTGCATCGGGAACTGCTCGAGACAACGAGCAAGGAAACAATTACGGCAAGATTAAGGCGGTCTCCAGACACTCCAGAGTTGGCTTGATCCTCCAATAATCGAGTTCCCCCGCACCAAATGACCGGCACGACGTTGCGCACTCTGTCATTGCAGGCTGCATGCTTGCCTAAAAAGAGCCTGGGCACACGATGAGCCCTGAGCACGCTTGCCAATGCCCCCTGACCACAACGAACGAACAATGGCCTTTGCGAAAAACGGGACCATCCTTCCCGAGCCAAGCCGGTCAAGGCGGGGTCACGTGGACGGTATATTTTTCTGGGCTTCAAGACGTACGCGTCGCTTGTACTCTTCCTTGTTGGTCCTGCCGCCCCACCAAGCCATGAAGGGGGGAAAAGGGTACCAATGTGTGGCGACGTTAGTATGGAGCAGACGTTGCAAACAACGCACAGAACCACTTCCCCGCAGTCCAATATGTACGTGCACCGTGGTGAGGTTGGCCAAGGAATAAATCTATCTCTGGTGGATCAGCCCCGGAGCCACGTGATTTCCCGTCAGTCGTCACGCTTCTGGGCCTACAGGGAGCACTTGCGGTAAAATATCTAAGACGGCGGTATCTCCCCCCAGTCAGAAATAACGCCTTCCACCCCTGAAAACCAGACACATAATGTGCGTACGCGTGAGAAGAGGACATAAGGCTTTGTGGGTGCTACCCAACGACCTCGAACTTGAACCGAAATGACATGTAGTGCTAATACTCACACGAACAGCTGGTAGGCCTCTGACTGGGCCGGGCTGTTGGGATTGGGGGTGTCGAACAGGTCGTGGATACCCAAGAGCATCTGCTTGATGGTGATGGCTGGCCTCCACCCTTCGTCCTCGTCCAGAATGCTGGAAGCGCCCACCAAACATTGCAAACGGACAGGACGCGGAACAGCACGCGACGCAAAGCGACGCCAACAAGAGTCACGAGCCCATCTCGCAACGGAGGGATCCACAACAAAAACGGTTGCAAGTCGCAAGGCTTCTTGTGGGTTCTTTCGTCGTGCTTCCTCGCCTTTCGGCTAGCTTGTGACCTCGAAACACCAGTTCGTCCGGCTGGGTCATGAAGCACAAGGCAAAGACGGAGGAGATGGAGATATGAGAACCCTTCTCTTCGTGCTAAGACAACAACAACAAAAATGCAACCATGATACATTTGCAACGAATCAACCAGGTCTGTTTAGCCTGCTTTGGTGGTGATGGCCGCAACCCACCTCTAGGCCTCTTTCGAAGCGCGATGCATCGTCAAAAAACGATGGACAGGAAACATGCGTCTTGCACGCCTCGCCCAGATCGATGGCGTTGACTTCGTGTGTTGCTCACCTCAGGCAGATTGTTCCCGATGGGTAGACGTTGGGGTGGAAAAGCGGAGGGACAAACTTGCACTTTGGCGGCTGAGAGAAGTGAAAGATAGAAGGTCCGACCGATGGTATGCACGAAAGACGGATGGGCGGGGGAACGGGAGGGATGTTGAGCCATAGGCACATGCTCCAGGGACCCCGTCCTCGGAGAAAGACAAAAAAAAGAAAATCGGATCTGCCCAACTTTTGGCTTTCTTGGGGCAACGACCTCGTAACCGCATGCCTGCCGAGTCGGAGCGCGTTCTCGATTTCTACTTGAGCCAACCAAGACAGTGGCGTGCTCCTTGCAGTATTATCTACGAGGCATCATTTCCACCGCCCGAACCTATCTTTCCCCAACAGGAGGGAACCAACGGTGTAGGAGTTGAGCAGATGCATATTAGGACGACTGTGGAATACTGCGACAACCGCAAAAAAGACAAGACAACAGGATTTAGACGTGATTTGCTCAATGCATTAGGTGACCAACGAAAAGTACCAGTCTCTTCTGGGCGGGTTGCACACCGTAACGGCACCGTTGCGGAGCCTTTCGGGGACAACGAGACTTAGGGTAGAGTATATTGCGCGGGATTCAGGGTGGAAACGGCGAAATAATGCCGATCAAAGAGAGCATAAACGCTCAGGATTATGACTAACCTTGGAAGGGTAGTCTTCGGTAAACTCCATTGTCACGGTATACAGACCTCCGGCCCAATCGGTGTCCGCCTGTTCGGGAGGGCGGGGTACGGAGCAAGGGGGAAAATGTCGACGGAATGAAAGCCACCGGTGTGTACTTCCAGCACTCCAACATGACGGGGGCCCCAACTACATGTGATACCTTGTAAACAATACCAGGTTGGACATATCCCCCAACTGTGAAACATGTCCGATTTTGCTAAATCTGCAGTGAGGAAAGCCGGGTAATAACGGCAGTCGGTGTGGGGGAAGGAACGTGAGCGTTTGATACTCGTTACAAGGTACTTCGAATTATGCATTCTAGCTTACCGGGCCAGGTAGGCCGCACTCCCAACGCAGGAGGTCTGTAGAACTGTCATCCTTGAGCATGGGCTTCGCGTGAAACCCCTGCGCGAGCGTCGGCCACCGCAAGCGGGCGTGGTACGCAGCATGCATGTCGGACGGACAGCGAATACAAGGCGGGGCGACAGGATAAACAGAAAATCATCAAGACCCCGAAACCACAAAGTACACACATAAGGAGAACTCCAAACAAATATTTTCCGAGACAACTCATTAGCCACCAAAGTTTTCACTTCCGACAGAGGCCCCACTCTGTACAACGCTTCAGACTATTCATTCGTTGCCAGCATTCGCGAGGCAAATAATGACCGAGGAAAGTTGTGCTTGTGTCCCGCCCGGTACGGTACATAATCGTGGCGAAATAGAGAGTCGACGCCGCCTTTGCACAATGCTCCGCCCACATCTTCCACCACCGTCAAGGGCGGTGCGGACGCCAATGTTCGCACCGGCATCCGCAAGAAACTCCGCGAGACTGTCACTCTCTTTTGCTTAAAAGGTATGGACCTCCTCTTGGATGACACTTTCGTTCCGACCTTACGAAGAACCGGCTTCGCGGAATTACTTGTTTCGAAAGTGAATGCGCGTCATCACCACGCACATACGGGCACTTCGTGCAAGGCATGGTACATACATGCGCGCTATGGACTCCGTGTTGTAGACTGACCGTGCAGCACCATGTGCCAATTTGCGTGCGGGCAAGCGGGCGAACGTCTGTCTCTTTCGGAGTTGAGAAGAAAGGACAACTTGCCGTATTCCGAGAATCAATAAACTGTAGGGGTGGGGACTGGACCAGTAGGTACTGACAGTATTCCTGTACTGGACGGTTTCCTTGGACTGGCTCAGAGGGATGCCAGTACAGCCAGTACTTCAATATGTTACGTACGTCCCACATTATGCCTCCTAAACCACACGCAAACCCACCAAAATGCGCGGCATGAGAGGGTGAGAGAGGAGCGCAAGCACGAAGCATACACGCCCGCACTCGAGGGAAGGTGCAACCGTGCGATCGATGGACGAATTTGTCACTAGCAGCGATGTGCCTGCTCGTTGTGTCACCAACAGCGCAAGTTGCGCAAGTTGAGAAGTTGCTGATATTTTTCAGGCGCGGGGGGGTCGGTCAAGTACAAGTGAGGAGGTTGATGGAGCTACGGCAGGCAGGGTAGATTGCAAAAAAAAATGATTTTCTTTCGTGGCTTTCAGCCAGGATGTGTTGTTGAAGGAAAATGAGCACCACCTTGATGAAAAATGAGCACCACCTTGATGAAAAATGAGCACCACCTTGTGAAGGTTTTCAAGTTGAAGATGGTTTGGAAGCAGCTACAGGGTGAACATCTTAAGTCGGATGCGTGTGTGACACCCAACCAAAAGCTACATGCTAAATCCGATGCGTGTTGTCACACCCAACCAAAGCCAGTTCTCCTTGTACTGGCGCTGCGCGCCAGTCCCCAACCCTAATAAACTGGCTCTTCGCACACGGCAATCCTTTGTACTTCCATCATTCTGTGGGAAATGTTTGATGTCCGTGCAGTAAAAAAATCAGCCCCACAGCTTTAGTATAAGCAAACTTGCGCGCAGAACAGGCAGTGGCACAAACATAGTCGCAATGTCGTGTGCATGTATGTGCCCCGGGGCTAAATGCTACGACCTTAACCAATTACTAGCATTTTCTTCGAACCATGACCATCATTTCAATCATACCAGGTATGGCGACTTCGAGCTGTGCACCTGCTTCTTTCTCTCCCTGTTGTGGTGTGTATATATGTACCCAGTATGCACGCACCCACCACACGACCCGCCATGCACTGCTCTGAATGGGAACACAGCTGTAACACCCACACGGGTTTCCGCCATCGTTACAGCAGTAGTGAGTCCCGCGTGGAATGCAGGCCATGCTTACCACCTGGTACTATTTATCATACATGTGACCCTAAACTAACTCTGAGAGGATGCGGGGGGAGTTATACCCCGTCCGGGCCTTGTTAGCCTCCAGTAGTATCATCCACGGGTATCGAAAAAAGTGGTGGCGTTGGGGCTGTCTCGCTGTCTCTTCGAGAGCTTCCAAAAACTACCATTTGTGATCTTGTGGCATCCTCTCTCGTCGTCGTCGTGGAGTAGAAAATCGCGCGGTAACCAGGGGGGGGGTGGTATCTCACGCAACCTACGGCACTATACGCAAGCGATCCATCGCAAACACAAAGCTCGGGACAAGGTGCAGCACCTCCCAGGATTGTTACCATCATCGGATACGGCAGCTCTCTACACACAGGCAGCGCAGTACAAAGACAAACAGTCGGCGGTACTGTTACTTCTTGTTGGCGGCGAATTATTTGGCTCTTTGTTGAGGGATCGGGGGCTGTCCCTCAGCACCGAAATCAAAAGAAAAACCAACACCATGACTCAAGAACGTGCCGTTTCTGTATAGCGGGGCAATCCAGTGGTGTTTAGAAACCAGCACGTGCCTCACCGACACTACACTAGGCCGTATCGCGACGTAGTCGCGGCTCGCGCCGCTTGCCGCCGTTTCTCTCGCCCATTTTCAAAAAACGCAAATTCGTTGATCATATGTATATGTACCCCCCCGAGAAACGCACACCGAAAGAGAGAGGCAGAGAGATAGAGAGGCATGGCTGCATCGTTGGATAGCGTAGAGACGGAGCCATGCACAGCAGCAAACCCAGCACAGTACTTTACTCACAACGGGGTGGTCCCTGCGCCAAGCCTTTCGCTCCTCCCGCAACCTCGCCTCAGCGATTCCGCTCATTTTGCTTTCCCCGTCTTGCCCGCCGAGATGCGTCTCACTTGTCGGCAGTGCGCCGCCGATGAACACCACTGACCAGCCGTGCGGCACGCCCTTTCACGACTCTTCGGATTGGATGGATGATCGCGTGTCGGTAAGCAAGATGGCTTGTAGAAGTCTCCAGCAACCAAGACAGGTCTATACTGCTGCTGTAGTTCTACAGTAGAGGCTTCAAGGCTTAGGCGCGGGGCTCCGCAGCTGGGGTAGAGAATGAGTAATGAGGTTACTGTTGTTCCAGTTCAGCGTACCTCCCTAGCGGACACGCAACACGTCAACCTGCCGTCGCTGGCACTACCTAAAATAGGAAGTAGTTGGAGCTTGACGCTCTTTATGTTGACTTGCTCCTCTCTACTGCAAGGGGGGAGGGGTTCTGGCTCAAAGGCTGTGCCAATTTACTACTGCGGAAGTGCTCGAGGGGAAAAGACGAAAAGACACGCAGCAGCGCGAGAGGTAGATTGAGAGAGAAAGGCTAAACAGCAACATCTGTCATCGCTGCTGGACCCGAATAGGATCATCCCGGGCATCACCAGCAGTCCGCGGGTAAGCCGTGTCTCCACTTGCAGCTAGTCGGATGCACCAGTGATTGCACTATGTGTGCATATTTGGTGAGGCGGGAAGAACCGTGTCGCCGCCCTTTTTTGTGACGATGCTCTCGCGTTTGTTTGCAGCGCGCGCTGCACGCATACGTACTCTCGAGCCGACATCAGCAGATGTCCCGCTGCCTGCTGTGTTATTTGGTGGCGGGTGCTTGTAGGGAATCGGAGGCATACAGAGCGCAGAATTGCTACTTAGAGGGGGCAGTGTAGGGTAAACAATGCCAAGCTTTGGTGTTGGTGCCCTATTCTTCCCCGAGGAAACGCATGGTGTGGGTCCGCACGTGGAGTCTACATCTACATAAGCACTTCGTACCATACAAGTTAGAGTAAAATGTTTGCGATACAACCAAAATACAATCACCGGGCCTCGTGTTGTGGTAATAAAGTAATGGTTGTATACGTTTTTAGTGGGAAGAAATAACAAAGGAGTAAATGGCCGCCGACCAGCAACCTACAACACATTGACATGTTCCTGTTTGTTCGAATATTGAATGTTGCGGCTCTGATTGGGCAACCAACGTTTTCTTCGAAAACCCCCGCACACACACCTTCGACTTCGCATCGTGTTTGGGTTGCTGCGGCTGCGGCTGCTGCTCGAAACTAATCAATAATTTGATCGCCTTTGAGCTGCTGCACATCCGCGGGAGCTGTATGTGAGGTACAGCGATCCCTCGCTGTTCGTTGCGTGTCGATTCAATAACCCGCCTGATGCTTTATCTACACCTACCGACACAGGTTTTCAAGGTCCCAATGGAGGATTGAAAGCGGGACAACTCTTGGCCGGCATTTACTGTTAACACTTTTCAAGGCGCACTTGGAGGGAGGCGTGCTGGACATAAACGCAATCCTTCTCCTTGCTCCGAACAAGGGGGGCACGCAGACCGCAGACCGAAGCGGGGCGTCCCTCAGTCCTTCAATCTAAGCCATGCCTATGGGCGAGGACCCACGGCATGGGCTGCTTGTGGCGCTGGTGGTGGGCCTGGTCGGCGTGCTGCTCCTGATCTTCGCGGCGCTGGCGGTTGCCCCCGTGCTCGTGATCGTGCTGGGGCTGATGACGTACGTGGTGTGGTGGTACGTGTCACGGGAAGACACCTCCTACATGCACCACGCGCAGGTGCGTTGCTGTTGTCCTGTTTTGCTGCTAATTTCTCTCCTGGGATGTAGACCCCCCTCTATTTAGTGCTTGAGCTGCGGGTTTTTTGTGTGTTGGTATCGCAACGGCAAGAGCTTGGTAAATTGTGTGCTGCTGTGTCGAGCGCCAAACGCATGGACGAAAAGAGTGTGTTGGTTCTGTCTAGCTTGGTCGTCGATAGGGGATAGGGAGCATCACCGCTTTCTATCAGCAGGGAAGACTGAATTGGGTTACCCTCTCCGCAACAACTACACAATGGCAGTACAGTAGTAGATCCGGCCGCAACGCCGCATTTTTCCCTGGCATTTGATGTGTTCGCTCAAACGTGAGACTTTCTATTCATCGAGCTGTGGTACCGAGCATCGGTTCTGAAGATGCTATTTCAGGTGCTGGTCTCTTAAAAGAGCAGACTGCAAATATTGCAGTTTTGTGCTTGGCGCAGCCATGCTTTCCGAGAGATTTCGGTGCCTAACATGCTGTGAAATCCAAGTCGTTGTCACGTTCCCGAACGAATGCGGTTCAATCTGTACAAAGTCCTTGTCTACACACTGCTCTCACGCCCTTGTCTTGGTATTGTTCTGCCGGTGGTGCTCTTCTAGGAACACGAGAACCGGTTCTGGACTACGGTGGCGTTTTGCTTCTCGGGGGCACTGGTGTTCGTTCATGACAGTCCCGTGGCCTTGGGGCAATGGTCCCCCGTGCTGGGGTTCCTTTTCGTCATGATGTTCACCTTCTCGGTGCACAGCTACGATCGACAGGTGTGTGTGTGCGTGTCCTCGTGCCGAGAGGGAGACTGAGGGAGAGATGGGACCCAGAGAGGTATATACAGGCAGAGGAGGAGAGGAGGGGTGGATGGGAAGAGTAAACTCATAGCACAAAGAGATTTATTCACTCGAGTTGGGCGTTGTACATTCGAGTTGGACGTTGTACAAAGCCTCGTAAGCGTGTCGGACAGCGGCGCTTGGGTCCCGGCCGATTACCCTTCCGCCCGAGCTTCGCGGCCCCCCGGCGGGCCCTGTCCCTCCCCTGCTCACACCCGCCGCCCTCGGCGTGCTCGTTCGCGTTCCCAGCTCCACCGGTCGAGAATCGGGCGTGCGCCCAACTTTCGGCCATCGGTGGAAAGCAGCACCATGCTCCACAGCAGCGTTCAGGATAAGTGTCGGCGTATCTCCTTGTGCCTCAGCAAGCTCGACAACCGGCTCGTGGCAACCAACCTCAACCACATGCTCTGGGCGGACATGGTGAGCTAAATAGGCTTTTTTCTGTGCAAGCTATGTGGGACCTCCTGACATGCGCTACATAGGGCAGCTCCACGTGTTTCGGGAAGCCAGACCCCTGATTTGGACGAGCTGCATGCATGCGGGTGTCCAGGGGGACGTATTCGTTCGTTGCCACCTAAGGGTATCGTGACGAGGTTACCGTCCGATCGGCCCCTGAGAGTGTTGCGATGTTTTATCCCCGTCCAAAGCCACCCAAAGCCCTCTCGAAGGCGTATGCCGCTCCTCTGTCTGAGATAGTTGCAATGCAACAAACTCTTCTTCGTCGAGCATGCTAGTCCTGACCTGGTGCTGACAGAGTGATTGCGGTGTTGGCCTGGAGGCGTCAAAACCGTTTTCATATATCTGCTTTTGAAACGAATCATTCATTTTTTTGTTCTCACTCACAGGTGCAAAACTTGGAGAAGGAGATCGTGAACATCCTCAGCGATGCAGACCCGTCGGAGCTGAACTACATGCTGCCCAAGATCGGGCTAGGCCTGCTGTTCTACAAGGTCAAGGACCACGCGCCAATCAACCTGCACAGGACCAGACTGCTCAACGTGCTCGCCGACAACCGCATATCGGTGAGACGCGTTTTCGTAGGCGCGCGGGGGGGGGGGGGGAAGTTTGACTGCTTGGTGGGGGAGGGATCCTGGCTATACATTCGAGCGTCGGTGGTTGGTGCCTGGAAGCATCGGTGGGGAGGATAGGGGTAGAAGGGAATGACTCCACGGTTCGCGAATGCTTCCCGGTGTCTGACTTTTCCCACACAGCAGTGAGAGGTGCGCCTTCGTGTCGCCTTGTACGATGCAAAATTGCTACGAAAGCCGCGAAGAAGGCTGGGTGCTCAAAAGAGGAATTCGTTTTTGAGGCTCTCACGGAGTGCGCGTTCCGCGTGTACCGAAGGTTTTCCGCCCGTGACCCCCTGCAAGGCACTGACTCGCTGCCGCACGCCCCCATAGACCTTCGCGAATGAAACTGTTAACTGTTTGTGCATGTACCGCTGTGCAGGACCTTAACGTGACATCGCGAGCTCTCGTGCTCGACGCTCTCCAGCAGCTAAAGCTTTCTGCGCACAAAGACAGGTGAGCGTTGTTTGCTTCCATGTAATAGATAGTTTCGATGTTGTCGTTGTGGTCGTTCTTTACTGTGCATGTGATTTGTTTTTTGCTTTTGCCTCCCGTGTGTTTGATGGTTTCGATGATGCCGTTGTTGTCCTTTACAGGGTGTGTGTGTTTTTTTTGTTTTTTTCGGCTCCGTGTGTTTGATGGGTTCGTTGTTGTCCTTGTTTTACTCTTACGGCGGTATGCGACGGAATAAACCTCGGCGGTTCCTTGCGTGAGTATCGACGCACCCAACACTTTCGCCACAAAGCTCGCCGATCACTCGGGGTCCCAGACGCTATCTCTCCCTGTCTCGCCGCACTGCTGTGGTAAAACTTTCCACGTGTTTAGCGAGGCGTACGCGAAGAAAATAATCTTGAAGACGAAAGGAGACGACTTGTCGGAGCTCAAGAGCCTCACCGACGCGAAGGGCGACATCCACTCCATACACAAGCTCGTCTATCGCGACATTAAGGACGTGGCTGTCAGAGAGGAGGTGCGAACGACGTCGATTGACTCAACCAGCAGCATACTCGTGTAATCGTGGTGTTGGCAGAGTCGCGCGAATATCATTTAGCTGTGGAAACAGTGTGCGCGCACATCAACACAACAGTGGTGGGGAAATGTGCGGTCTTTGCGTCTGCCACGTTGTTCTCCAGAGCTATTTCCAGGGGTTGATTCGACGTCTAGGTTTTGGACGACCAGAGGTTATCATCCTGTGCCCGTGCGTGCTGGCGCGCTCTCTGTCGGGATGTCGAGACGTGACGATAGCGGCGTAACTGACGACGGGAACAGTGCAGTTCACAGTTGACCCGGATTTCCCAATCGACCATAGAGCTTTGGCGCTGGGAGTCGTGCGAATCGCTGCCGCTGTAAATGCCAACAGCTTCAAAGTAACAACAACAACAACAACAGCAACAACAACTTCGGGCCGCTCAAGCTCCAAGAATACGGCCGAAGGAGTTATAAATGGCGCGTTTCATGAAATCTACGTATGGCATATTGTCATGTGACGAAATCAATTTGGAAAATGATTTTTTCCACCCGAACGAGGATTTTTGAAACAGAACCGATGCCAGCAATATCAAGGAAAGAAAATGCCGGGCGTTTTGTCGCGTGCCAGGTGCTGAAGCACATCGCCAACCAGGCGAAGGTGCAGGCGGCGCACATGCGACTCGGAACCCGCACGGGGAGCAGGCGCAGCGGGAAGGCGTGGCGCAAGATCCTGTCCGACGTCGACGACACGCTAACCTCGTCAGGTAAGCGTTTCTGCTCGTGGTGCCTGAATTCATGGAAGTATGTGTTTGTTGGAGTTTGCTGCACTTCACTACTGTCTTGAAGGAGCCGGGGCAGCAAAGGCGGCGCCCACCACAACGACTGCTTCAGAGTTAGTTATCCGCACCCCATACAGTTGTTTTTTGGTGTTTCGGTGAGGGTTGAGGTCTTATGGTGTATGCACCGAGGACGGTGTGTGTTGGTTTGGTGTGCCGTGTCGACGACTCGGACGCATGCATAAGATACTCTGAAACCTTTGGTGGAGCTTGTTACCTCTTGCCTCTTGTCCATTCTTACTTTTTGCACTTTAGCCTTGGGTATGCATGTGAGAGAGAGAGAGAGAGGAGAGAAGCTGAGACAGCGACTGACACAAACATACAGAGACAGACAGACAGACATAGGAAGCGGGGGGGGGGGGGGGGGGGGG